GAATGAAGCTTGGTCAAGCTGTGACTATCGCTAAATATATGAAACACACCCATTTGCTGTAGCTACTCGCGCGTCATCTATCGTACGTTGTTGGTACTATCGCAAAACATTCTCCGCAGTGAACAACTGTATAATGTTTCAACAATTCGATATACAACGCAGTAACTCATAAATCACCAACAAACAAACAAACCATAAATTTGTGAATTTATTAAAAAATTAAATGTAAAAGTGATCCTAGATTTATTTTAATTTATGTAGAGAGTGGTTTGTCAATATTATTATGTAATTTGTTATCGGTTCAAACTTTTACTCCAAAGATCAAATCGTTGAATTATAATCCGGATTCTGTGAGAAACTATTCAAAATAACAGCAACAGTAATTAGCAACAGACGTTTTGATTTATACGAATTAGACATATATAGACATTTCTTCACGAACTTCTTTAACAATTAACAAAGCACCATACTTTAGATGTTATAATCTACAAAAAAAATACAAGAATGCAACTCACACCATTACCTCCAATAACTTTGGCTAAAACGAAAAATACACACAACAAAAACAAGTAGGTAGGTAAACTATTACTAGATCAATTACTAAATTAAATACTTTTTAAAATATTAGTGGTTGATGAAGCAATTATGAAACTTGTAGGCCGTTATTACAAAAATATGTCTAATTTGAAAACAGTTAATTGTAATTGTTTGCAATACGGATGTGGACTCCAGCATTAATTCGGCAAAAGAAACTACAAATAATGAGTGTAGTGTACTTGTGTGGTGAGTCTCTTGCAATTTACATTATTTGATTAGTTCATTTAATTTAAATTATCTACCATGAAGTTTATTTTGACTTGTATCATTTAAAGAATATTTTTTTTATTGCTTAGATGGGTGGACGAGCTCACAGCCCACCTGGTGTTAAGTGGTTACTGGAGCCCATAGATATCCACAACGTAAATGCGCCACCCACCTTGAGATATAAGTTCTAAGGTCTCACGTATAGTTACAACGGCTGTCCCACCCTTCAAACCGAAACGCATTACTGCTTCACGGCAGAAATAGGCAGGGTGGTGGTACCCACCCGCGCGGACTTACAAGAGGTCCTACCACCAGTAATTACGCAATTTATAATTTTGCGGGTTTCATTTTTATTACACGATGTTATTCCTTCACCGTGGAAATCAATCGTGAACATTTGTTGAGTACGTATTTCCTTAGAAAAATTGGTACCCGCCTGAGATTCGAACACCGGTGCATCGCTCAACACGAATGCACTGGACGTGTTATCCGTTAGGCCACGACGACTTCAAATGAGACGATTGTATAAAAAATCGACTGTGGTTACGGCTTTAGCGGTTATTACTAGCTCACCGTCAGATAGATTGTTAGGTCTGCTACGGGTATTGATCAGTGAAAGCCTATAAAATGTCCTAAGCGTATCAAAGAAAAATACACATCAGCGTGATTGAAAGAAACGGCGAATACGTTGGCTATTTTATTTGGAACAAAAAAAAGTAGAATAAGGGAAAAAAAGTAGATTCAGCAGTATTATTTATTTCGCAATTTTAACAGACCAGAAAAAATTAATCATACCCAATCTTTTTTTACTATTCCATTGTGAACCAATGAAGCGTACACGAACAACGACGCGCGACGCTTTAAAAGTCAGTCCACGTGTTATCGCTATTTTCTTGACAATTGCCTCAACGCTTTGTTATTCGTGCCTCCACTTATTTGAGATGTGTGGCTTAATCGCTCACCATTATCGATACATCTCACATCGCATTTCAACGAGCTTCTAGATTATTATGTAAACTGCAACATTTGGCTATGCGTCTGTCTGGTTTCTTTGAAAAATCGATGCTTAGATTCTTTCGTCCAGAATCATTTTCATTTTGAAAGAAATATTTAATTACGTAGATATTTCAGGTAACAGTGTAGATTAAATAAAGATTTCGGAGCTCAAATCCTGTAGGGATTGCGTCAGTTCAATTCGTCTAGACGAGATAGCTACCATTGAACGTTTGGGATATAGCAGTTGAATGAAATCAGTGTTGTCTAGTTGTACAGACTTTTTTCTTGAGAATAAGTTCGTGCCTTATTTGTTTTTCTGTTTCTACCGACATTTGGAGAGAAATAAATGTAATATTCTTGATATTGATAATATTTTATTGTTATCTTATATGCATGTACATGTTGTATTCGAAATTTAAACTTTGTTTTACTAAGTTTTAAGTCATTAAAATATGAAATTCCTTTTATATAGATACTTGAACATCATTGAATAATTAAATACATAAAATTGTTGTGGTGCAATATTGATTACGTAACTTATTTCCGATTTTTAAAACATTCACTTCTGATATTATAGAGTCGGTGAAAGGTATTCTATAACAAACATTTGAAGTGAATGCGGATTTTTATGTCAGTTTTATCAATAAAAAATTAAGTGTTGCTATTTAAAAAAATTTAATATTTAATATATTTACATTCTAATATTTAATATAAAGTCTGCGAACGTTATAGCTTAAAAATAATGCACCAGGCTTCTTAACCGTCATTATTATAAAAAATGGTTATTAAATGATCTGATTATTTCATTACTTTAAGCCTATATCAATAAATACAGTTTGATCATTCTGCAATTATTTTATAACGCCTACAAGGACCTTTTATTTAATCGAAGTTCATGCACCTGCTACATTTCCCGGATTAAAACCCGTCTAGACAGGCGATATGAACGATTTTATATGCCATGCTTACTTTAGTTATTTTATTCAGGATGTTCTTTTTAAAAATTGAACAATTGATTTCCACAGTGAAAAATCAAATCCTTAAAAATGATCGTCTCAAGATGAGTGGTAACTTTCACTTTGTGTTAACTTATGGCCTTCGGTAACCAGGCGGCACAAGGTGAGCAGTGAGGTGGCTCACTCATCTATGCAATAAAAAAAATTCAAACTTATAACAATAACAATAATGTATATATGTATAACAAATAACATGCTTATTTCAGACCGTTGAATGAGAGCTATTTTATTCACACTATTCATTTTTGATTGAAAATAAATTCCAATTAATAAAACGATTTCTGGACGAGACAACGAATAAGAGATCTGTATTTTGAAATAAAATTTTAATAAAAAAAAAAATGTCTACATGCTGCATGTTGACATTCCCATTTCCCACGTTACTGTATGACTCATTCGTCCCGTAACACACCTCTGTAAATAAGCCTTCGCTGAAATAATTACATGTTTGTAATACAAGCGCCACTGACCTCCGTCTTCAGTGATTTTATCGATCCCTGATACTCGCGTATACGCTCTGATATACTTTTTCATTTATTAAATGAATCATATGTTGTGTCCCAAAAGCCATTATTACATTAGTTCTGCTAGTAGAGATTTATATTTAGAGATACAGCTATATAAAAACTTCGCTTTCAGATAGCTATACATGCTATCGAGTTCGCCAATTCTTTGTTCCAAACAATTTAAAAGTCTGGCTATGATTATTTCTGTCATCAACAGACTACTGATCAGCAGTCACAGTGATTTTTGTATTATATAATTAGTTCTTTTCTTTCTTCTATGCTGTTTGTCCAGATATGGTAAGTATTCCTCGAGGGGATAGCAAAGGCAGCGAACCACAAATAATGTTAGCTCAGCCAGACCGTGGCGAGCCATTGTGTACTTGGTTGGCTTAGTTACATACTCTATTGTACAAGTATGATAGGTACCCGGCAATTTATATATTGAATTCTGATTTTAAAATGTTTGTAGGAACAGAATAAAAAGAGAAATGCTTGTCTTGTATCAGAACTATATCCTTAATTTGTTCTCTATTTTACACAAAAGTAGCAATGTTAATACTATGTACAAAAAACTTTGTTTAAATATAATAGAATATTAAGGAAGGAAATAGATATGTTAAAACTGAATGTAAATACGATTAGCAAATTTTAGTGAACAAAAAATATGTACTCTAAGAAATAAGAATAAATAACAGCGGTAGTATTTTTTTAATTCTTTGATATTTTTGGCAATTCAAAACAAATATTGCGCGAAGACGCGAAAGAGCGACAAAATTCAAAAGAAGTAACAAAAGCGTGCGCGGTCATTGTTCTATAGTATTGTCTTTGTGATTTTTAGCTAGGCTCGCTTTTGTACGCTGCGCTGCAACTAATGAATACATACTTATGAATTCATTCTCATTCCGTAATGAATCTGCAGGCGAATCTTGAATATTTTACTTTTAGTGTTCCGTTATAATTTGAGAGTTGCACATTTATACTAACATAATGTGTTATTTGAGTTTGCATTTCTAACCTTCGTGGTGGTCTGTCTTTTACTCAGTTTTAATTATGATTTTTGAAACGAATCTGTTTTAAAAACTTTTTCTACGGGTGAAGGTTTTTGTGTCTGTGTCATCTTTTTATAAAATATTGTTAGTTGTATTTTATATTTTGTTTATATATATATATGAGGCACTACGAGGAAAATTATCAGCGTTAACACATTATTGTTGTATTTAATTGGTATTACCTATGCATTCTTAAACGAGTATTAAACCTTTATTGGCGATATCGAGTGGGGTGGCATTCTGTCGATAGGCGAACATTCCACAATTCCACATCTAGGAACGTTCGCAGCTGCTTCGTAGAATGTTGGAGGTTCGAGTTGCGGTCGCCAGTTCACTCCGCAGCCGTTTTACTGTTTAATATTGGAATGTTGACTTATTCAATCGTTACATAGATTGGCCGACAAAATTGTCGAATGGCATCTCGTATTTCGTGAAGTTCAATGAACTCGTTTTAATTCTCAATATGATGATATGGAATGAGATCTCTACCATATATGGCTGCCAAGCCTTGAATTATACGATTTTCCATCATATTTATGATGTAAATAAAAAAATTCTAATGAGTATTTTGTCTCGTTTGTATTTTTAAAATACAAAGTTTTTTTGATTACGCCTTTTTTTTTTTACAGCAACTTAAAGATGAACTCGGCGAAGTGGTGGCCGAGCTGGAAGCCCTTGATGGGCAGGAGGAGTGTAAGCAGAATAGTAAAGCCAAACAGATGAGCATAGGAAGGAAGAAATTTAATATGGATCCAAAGAAAGGTATGGTTTAATTGGTTTATATGTATAGTTATTAAGAAACGACGCTTGGAATCTTCCTGCCTCGGTATTCTTGCCAACTGAAATCAATGATAAAGCAATTTTTTTTATAAAATGGGTATTGTGGGCAATATTCTTTATTTTTAACGTATTCAGGGATAATATTTGATTGGATGATAATTTTATTGACTGCTTTGGAACTACAGAATTCTTTAATTGCTAATAGAAGAAAAAAATAACATGAACAAGAACATAAATGTTGATTCAATTAAATTATAAGTTCCTTAGTTTAGTGGTCACCGTTTGTGGTATTCACCACAGCAGGTGTATCGTTCTCACTGCGACATACTCAGTAAATTGTAATTTCCTAGAACCCGTACACCTGCCTAATGAACTTCAAATTGGAAATAAATCGCACAATATCTTATTATCTATATATTAATACGTGAAGCAAAAACTTTGTATCTCTTTTTACGAAAATTGCGCGGACGGAGGAGTATGAAATTTTCCACACCTATAGAGAATATAGAGAAGAAGTGCACAATGCTAATATTTTTTAAAAATAATGCGTAAAAGATACATTAAATCAATAAAGAAAACATTACACACACATACCATGTATTTGACGCACACACGCATGCATACTATTTATTGTCAAACTTTTGTTCTTGACGTCTGTTGTCAAATTGAGAATAGATTAAATATTGTTTGTCTTCGTTAATCTTTTTTATAGTGTAGTCTTGGCGAATTTGTAATTATAGAAGTATAAAATACAATCATAATAGTGTACAAACTTACAATTCCAATTAATTATAGTCGAATTTCGACTACTGCGGGATCTCTAGTTTATAATAATTTTTAAAGGTCATGTCAGGTATAATAAGTTTGTATGCATTTTGATTATTAAATATTTACTCTGGCTCATGTTTGCTAGGATAGATTAGTTTGATATTACGTGTTATAAAAATTCTAATCTATTTAAAATATGGAATTCCCGTTTTAAGTAAGTATCCAGTGAATCTTGATTTGTACCAGTAAAATAAATAGATTAAAGGAAGCAATGAAAGCGACTTAAAGATTTAAATACATCAACTTAAACATAACAATGGTGCCACCTCGGACGGACTATAACTTTCCACAAAAAAATCAAATTTAATCCACGAATGAGGGAAAAATCCGTTAAAGTGCAAAAAAAAATCAAAGTTACAATTGAAAAGCCAAAGACACATTATTTTCTTTTATTCGGCTTAAATTCCTTGACCAGATAAAACTTTATTTTGTCAGCACGTAAATCAAATTACCGTTAATAAGCACAGCAGGTGGTATTATAATTAACGATAAAATTTCATAGTAATAAATTACATACAGGTGAGCTACATTTATGTATTCACATACATATAACTCGTCTTCTAGTAATATGTAAAATATAAAATCTAGATTTCATTTTTACGGAACTTAGTAAATATCTCGTTGATTTTCTAAATTTCTATTTTCAAAATCATTACAATCAATTAGCAGAAAACAAAATATCAATACAAGTTATTTATAATATAAAGAAATAGTATGTTCTGTTTCTACTATAATATTTAGAGGACATTAACAGATCTAATTCACAACTAACAAGTCAATTTTCATTACCCAAAACCTACCAGGGGAGACCACTTGCAAATATTTTAAAGTAAACATATAAAAAAACGGTTAATTTAAAAATAGCTTTGTAATACGTTAAAATATATGTTATTGAGCATATTATTATTGTGTTTCGGACCGCAACACATATGGCAGGACCGCTACAGGAGAGCGATCGTGCTCGTAAAACATACTCGTACGATGCCCCGGGGGTACGATTCGCAATCAATACTAAACCAATAACTTAGATTTTACTACTACATTTCTCTTTAGTCCTATAGAGCTAAGAAAACGGACAGTTTCCTAACTACATATTTCCTGAATATCAATTGACGCATGTGCCTCGGATAAATTTTGCGAACAATACTTTTTTCTCTCTCAAAAACATTCCGAATATGAATTTGTATGCAGTTGGAACAGCGGCACCTCTAGCGGAAAACGTATGCAAACTTTCCAACTCCATACAAATTTGAGTTAACTTTTACGCTATCGAGAACGTTAAAAACTCGCACTAAGCACACTGATGCTACTAGTAACGTTTGTACATATTTCTTTAGATTTTTTTTATCTTCCTGTGGGATTTGAATACTGACATGGTAGCATCGCTTGACATACACTGAACGTCATTTCCTTCAATAACAGATATAAATATGTAGCACAATAATAATATGATTGTGTTACCCTTAGATAAAATATAATCAAGTAGATTGCATATTGCCACTACTGTCAGTAAGTAGCTGTATGTACAACGACATTGCATTTCAACCTCTCAGACACAGCCCACTGAGTTTCTCGCCGGATCTTCTCAGTGGGTCGCGTTTCCGATCCGGTGGTAGATTCTGCGAAGCACGGCTCTTGCTAGGGTTCGTGTTAGCAACGTCATNAGACACAGCCCACTGAGTTTCTCGCCGGATCTTCTCAGTGGGTCGCGTTTCCGATCCGGTGGTAGATTCTGCGAAGCACGGCTCTTGCTAGGGTTCGTGTTAGCAACGTCATCAGGTTTGAGCCCCGTGAGCTCACCTACAAACGTTAGGGTTACGCTGAAATAGCCTCTCAAGGCTCTCAGCTTAGGTAGGAAAAAAATAAAATAAAAAAAAAGCATTTCAATGATATGTACTCCTAGCCTGGCTCTAAGCGAATGTCGCAATTTTTTATTTCAAATTAGGGATGATTGACAGTTCCGTTCACTTTAGAATAAATTTAACTATTAAGTTTGTGTATAATTTAGGCAAAGACAAAAAGAATAAGTACCGTTTTCTCCCCTCATTTTCTCGCGTAAACCGATGTATTTTTTTGGCTTAGTAGTTATTAACGAGTTTTAGGTTGATCAATAAAATAAACTAGGATTAGTTGTTTTCTGTTTTTAAAATATCAAAACCAAAAAAATATGTTATATATAATATAAAATGAATTCATACGTCATTATTATCGAATTTCGAGAAAACTAGTTTATATACATACCTGTACATAAATGCAAATATAATAATAACCAAATATTCTAGATTTCTAAATCCGGCTTAGGTACCGTTTCAAACTAAAATAGCGGTAAACTGTATTCAATCCATTTTTAGTCGTAAATTTTTGGGACTAATGCATGATGGTCTTCAGCCTAGAAGCGGTGCGGCTTCTGGGTCTGCGTTACGTCGATGAACGAATCATGTGCAATGAATCCTCACCATTTCAAGCCACTCTGGGTTTTTTTATTACTATAGATGGGCAACCTTATGGTGCGCACCTGGTGCTAAGTAGTTAATTGTCCCTAGCTATATCTTTAGCTATATCTATATCTATAGCTATATCTTTTTTCTTCTTTTTTTATTGCCCTTGTAGACAGAGAAGCATACGGCCCACCTGATGGTGAGTGGTCACCGTTGCCCATGGACTTCAGCAATGCCAGGGGCAGAGCCAAGCCGCTGCCTACCGCTTAATACTCTCCGCAAGCCTCTTTTGAAGAAGGACATGTCATAGCGCTCGGGAAACACTGGAGGAGAGCTCATTCCATAGCCGGATGGTGCGTGCCAAAAATACCTCTGGAAACGCACTGTCGATGAACGCAGCGGTTCCAGGTGGATGAACTCTGCTCCGATGGCGGGAGGTGCGATGATCAAAAGGAGATGAAGGTATCATCTCAAACAATTCCTCAGAATATTCCCCATGGAACATACGGTACAAAATACAGAGGGAACCGAAGTCCCTCCGCATCTTTGTGAATGCCACCAGCCGCTTTTAGATATGGATACTGTTTTGTACGACGGCGGTCCGAACCTTCGAACCGGAATTACTGCTTCGCGACAGAAATACGCAGGATGGTGTTACCAATCCGTGGTGAGATGTCGAAATATTGAGGGTTTTGTTTCCTCATCGTCAACGTTATTCTTGGAAACGTGCGACTTACCTCTACGTGTTTACTTTTAAAAGATTAAAACATTAGTATTCGAACCCCGGTATAATGGAATCATTCGATATGTGTGAGTGCACTGGACAGCTTGCCCGTTAGGTATGAAAATTTATAGGGTATGTGCTCAGCAACGAACGTCTTCGAGCTACTAATGATTCTAATGAATACGTTAGTATAATAAACACAAAGGTAATTAAAAACTAAGTAAATTAACTGGAGCTCTCATCATTACGGTCTTGTTTTAAAATACCAAAGACATGATATTTTTACAGGAAGCACTCGACTTCCCGTGTTTACCTTTAATTAAATTGAAACGGTGTTTCTTAATTAGTGTCCCGGGAGAATTAAAAACTTGTACAAAAGATAACCAGAATATCATGATTAGATTTCTAAAGAATACCGCCGAAAGAACAACAACAAAAATGTATCGTCATCATTATTTGAAACGTTTTTGTGAAGTCTTAATTAATTTATGAAGGCAACAATTTATGTTGGAGTTTAGAAATTACTTACAAAATTTCGCGTCAAGAACAGTTCGAAAATATATTTGTGTTTGAAAATACAAACATTCACAACATATATCGACCTTCGCAAGGCACTGTTAAAAAACAGCCGAGAAATGTTAGGGGAGCGCGAGGCGCACTTATGCTTTCAGACGGATTCTAAGTCACAAATTCTTTAACGACGCCGTACTTATCTTATACCTTTAAACGAGCAATTCTTGTNATTTCGCGTCAAGAACAGTTCGAAAATATATTTGTGTTTGAAAATACAAACATTCACAACATATATCGACCTTCGCAAGGCACTGTTAAAAAACAGCCGAGAAATGTTAGGGGAGCGCGAGGCGCACTTATGCTTTCAGACGGATTCTAAGTCACAAATTCTTTAACGACGCCGTACTTATCTTATACCTTTAAACGAGAAATTTTTGTATATAAATATATAATCTGAATGTCGGAAACGGCCCCAGCGATTTTCATGAAATTATACAGTATACAGGGGATTTCGGGGGCGATAAATCGATCTGGCTACGATTTATTTTCAGAAAATGTTGTTTTATTCGTGTTTTCAATAATCAACTCTTTCCGACATCTATTGGCGAATAATAATACAATTTTTCTTAATTGAGGGCAACTAACCGCTTTAAAGACACAACAAGATGGCGTTACCAAAAAAAAACCGAGCAAAGCTCGGTCATCGTCTAGTATGTAATAATGACATGAGCTTCACTTGTCATTATTACTAACATACAATTCATACCTACGGAAATAAATTTTATTAGAGTAATGATAACCTCGATTTAACTTGAATTATCTCTTATATCACAACAATCAGTTTGAAGACACTATAGATTTCATTTCAATTTTCAACTGACTAAGTTCGCCTCGATTCTACCCGCAGTATATTGAGTATTAATAATTTTATTGTGAATTATATGATACTGGAAACGTTTGGGCCGTTCACCTTATACTGGTTGTCACTAAAAATATGTTTAAATTCGTTCATTTTCCTTAGGGTTGTTAATATATAATAAATAAATAAAAATGAAAAAAAATATAGAAAAAATTGAAATTCAACTAATAAATGGAAAATAAATAATTGTTTAAAAAAACTAACAAAATACGCTTTTATAGAAAAGCCAACTAAAAATTAGAAATAAATTCTAATAAATTTGAATTAAAAATAGTGTAAGAAAAAATGATTTTATTTTAAAAAAGCGTGGGGTGCTTTTCAGGATTATTTTTTTACTGGTGGTAGGAACTCTTGTGAGTCCGCGCGGGTAGGTACCACCGCCCTGCTTATTTCTGCCGTGAAGCAGTAATGCGTTTCGGTTTGAAGGGCGGGGCAGCCGTTGTAACTATATGGGTGGCACATTTACGTTGTAGATGTCTATGGGCTCCAGTAACCACTTAACACCAGGTGGGCTGTGAGCTCGTCCAACCATCTTAGCAATAAATAAAAAAAAGGATACCAAAATAACCCTTCTACTCATATCTGTTCATAAAATATTTATAAGTACTGATACCATGCACCCCACGCTTTTTTTACACTAAAATCATTTTTTCTTACACTACTATTAATTCAAATTTATCAAAATTTTGTTTCTATATTTTATTTGGCTTTTCTATAAAAGCGTATTTTGTTAGTTTTTTTAAACTATTATGTTTTTATTAAACTATTTAACGTTCAGATGAAATTTGAAATGGAACTACAAATTGAAATACAAATTTCACCTATACTTACCCTTGTCCGTTATAAAAATGAGGTTTCTGAACGGCGGAGGAGCGTCCTCCACTAACTCTACTACTAACGATCTTGTTATAGACTTTGACGTCACAAATGTCTAGGCTTCGTTGCTTCAGTCAACAACTTTGAGTATCCGCCATGTTCCAACGATTCTGAATTCAAATCCTATGCAAACGATTCGAATAGATGTCATAAAATCGATTGCGTAATGCATCACTCGATATTGCAATGTAATCTATCAATTTGTTTCGCCAATCATTACACGGTTGGGGACACTGAAGATCGTTGTGATCATTAGGTTATTGATCTTCGATCCCCTTTTTGTGGAAATAACGTTTAGAAAACGTGATTTGAAACGTGACGTCATTTATACATTATGAACTTCATTTACATAATTTCTGTTTAAACCAAATAATTTCTAAAGTTTTTCCTTATTTAAAATATGTAATTTAAACATCAAGAATGAGCGATGAGTGAACAAATCTTTTTTCTATTTGTTTGCAATTATTGTTATGATATACGTTAATTTATCACCCACTTATCATTGTTTATACGATAACAACCATTAGCCTTCTCTGTCTTTCGTTTAGCTCAAACTAATTAACCAACATTTGTGATGGCAAAGTATTTTTCAACCCACGTCAAAGACAGTAATGTACTCTGTAATGTTACGGGGGCGTATGACGTCACGCCTCTGCAGCTCAGTTGTGATTAATACAGAATATACCTCGTTACATGCGACAATATGACGTCACTACATTGGCTAGCGAACTAAGTTATGACTGATTGTCGTTCGATTTTTTTAAATTTTGTTTCGTTGAATTACCAACATAGGAATCTTAAAAATTTCACATCAAAATAGGGTAGTGCACAATATTAGTAATAGCGTGTATTTTATTCAACGCTCACGTAAATGCTAAGATGCCTTTTAAATGAGTCTAGACGTCTATGTACAAGGGGTATTCGTGCAATAATACATTGTTTGAATGTCTTTAGCATTCCTATGCTCATGCAATTGCATAGCAAATGAGCATAATATGCAGGTCCGCAGTTTGCTTTCCAAGTGTTTTGCATATCGGCGTCGAGTGCCAGTCGCCTAAGCTTTCAGACTGAGCCTTCGAACACCAGATAATAATGAAATGTACCGCGATTAAAATATCTGATTAATGATTTGAAAACAAATTCACGTAATGTTTTTTTAGGATTCGAATTCTTATAAATTACATACTGCTGACATGGATATGTAGTATATGCTATTTCAAATTTAATCAATTATCGTACGCATGATCGAGTAGCCAACATAATTTATATTCGCGTTTCCTGCACGCTTGAATTAATTTTTTGCCCACGAATTCAATTGCATATCTAAACTTTGTATCAAAAGTACTCGTGCATCTGTCGCAGTATTTTAGACATTCTAGGAATCAAAGACAAAACACTAAAAAATCATCCTAAAAATGAACAAGCATAAAAATGCTTTTTCTGTTTTGAAATTATTTGTTTGAGATATTGGAGTTTTCGCTACATTTTGTGTATTGTATGCGCGGCCTTTTGCGGCTTCTCTTCATTTTCAATAACGCAAACTTTGAGAACATTTGAAAGAATTGTAAAGAATGTGAAAAAGTTTTCATGCTAAGAAGCTTCAATGTTAAAAATACAAAGAGTATTGTGAATTCAATTTCATCGAGTGGCATTTTTTAATATTACTTTGGTAGTATTGTTCAATTCATTTACGCTTCATTAAAAATAAAACGTGTAAATAATACGAATAAAAGGCTTCGTTAAATATGCTTTCACTATTCAAAGCAGACCATACTCATTATTTTAACTTTTCTTTCCCAAATCCCACGCCTATACTGAATACCTACCACTTAAACAGGTGTATTATTGTTTGAATTGTATAATTCTCCTGTGACTTTTCTCTTGTGATTTCATTTCGCGTAACGTTAATAACAACGGGACGTTAGTTATTGTTGTTTTCCAATATACTTCGGTATGTGTGAGTGAAGAGGATCTAACATTGATCTTTTAATATTGCGTATTAGATATGTGACAATTTTAAAGAAATTAAGCTATCTATATAATAATATTGTAGTCCCGAGATGGAAGTTGAAAGCGAAAGATAAACATAATTATTATTAATATCCATGAATTTGTATACAGTCGGTTATTGCCAAACACTCGACTTATGATACATAAAGATGTTGCTTGGTATTTATTGGCTTTGACCTTAAAAATAGTATAGTATGTGTAAATACTTAAGTAAGATTTACAATTTTTTTTTCTTAATTTCGTTTTTAGGTATCGAATACCTTTATGAAAATGGTCTACTGCAGAGGACGCCGGAGGACGTGGCGCAGTTCCTTCACAAAGGCGAGGGACTGAGCAAAACCGCGATAGGCGACTACCTCGGTGAACGATCGGAATTCAATGAGGCGGTACTAAAAGCCTTTGTCGATCTCCATGACTTCACCGACTTAATACTCGTGCAGGCTCTCAGGTAAGCTTGTTACTGAAGTCATTCCATTCGCGCGATTCAAAGTAATTTTAATTTCTATCACTGTAAGCTTCATCGCAGATCTAAGTTATGGCGAATAGTAGTTGCAAAGGAATATAAAATTATTATATATTTATTTATTTTTTATTACTTAGATGACAGCCCATCTGGTGTTAAGTGGTTACTGGAGCCCATAGACATCTACAACGTAAATGCGTCATCCACCTTAAGATAAGTTCTAAGGTCTCAGTATAGTTACAACGGCTGCCCCACCCTTCAAACCGAAACGCATTACTGCTCCACGGCAGAAATATACAGGGTGGTGGTACCTACCCGCACGGACTCACAAGAGGTCCTACCACCAGTAAAAAACTGTAGTCATTCCGTTTGCACGATTCAAAGTAATTTTAATTTCTATCACTGTAAGCTTCATCGCAGATCTAAGATATGGCGAAAAGTAGATTTAAGTCGCAAAGGAATATAAAATTGTATGGTGTTAACCAAACAGATATTTGTTGGGTGACGTCATTGAGTACACTCTGATTCGTTTCATAAAGAGGTCTATTAAGTTGAATAGATTTTTATTTCGTTTTCCGTTTAACATAAAAACAGGAAATAACATGGAATTTCCTAAATAAAAAAAAATGTCCCCAAACACGCCGATTGATAAGAGAGCAAACATGTAATTGAGACAAACAGCATGATAATGAGTTCCGTGAAATTAAATATTAACTCAAAAATATGTTACGCAACTTGTGTAATGTTGATAAGTAGTCTTAGTCTTAGCATGATGGCTCATAGGTTCCACAGCGTGAAAGCCGCTGGGGTCCAAGAATTGTATTAAATTAAAACTGTGAAACATAGGGCCCGCTCATTACCATTTAATATGTAAATGACAAATATAATTTACAAAAATATTTTGACAACAATACATAATAAGACGGGTGAATTAAACTAGAAGAAAGTAGGCATCGTTTTCTTCTCAAATTTTATGATCTCTGATCATATATGACTGTTATAACATTAAAATACTCGTAATTTTAAATAATATGGAAAATTTAATGTAGCCTCAGAAAATTTATAAAAGGTACTCCACACTGAAGCTTACGCTTCATAACACAGAAAAGGAACTAAAAAGGAAGGAGAACCTTAGGGAGTTTTAAAAAGTAGCGTCTGCAAATATGTAAATAAAAAATACGCGAGATTGAACCGTAAATATGTCATTCAATACTAAATGTTGTTTACGTAAATGTATAACGAGGGATTATTGTAGTATTTATTTGTATGTTTTTTCGGACGCTTATCTCACAAAGTGCTGAAAAAATTTTCAATTGACTAAAATACTTTGAACGATTTCTTTTCGCCTTTGCAAATAACAAATAATTCGCTCGCAACGTAGGTATATTAACTGTTAGCGGATTTCCCCAGCGATGATTGTACCTGTAAAAAATATTTTCTGTTTCATTCTCAATGACGTGTCATATAAAAATGGCGTTCGTTTTGTTCGAAAACTTTATCCATAATTTAGATATTATACGCGAAGGCTAATCTGCAGTCGAGGCTGTAATGTCAAGACCAAATTTATATTTTGTAGGCTCTTAAAATTGTTACCACTAATGATAGATATACTTTTGTTNGCGATGATTGTACCTGTAAAAAATATTTTCTGTTTCATTCTCAATGACGTGTCATATAAAAATGGCGTTCGTTTTGTTCGAAAACTTTATCCATAATTTAGATATTATACGCGAAGGCTAATCTGCAGTCGAGGCTGTAATGTCAAGACCAAATTTATATTTTGTAGGCTCTTAAAATTGTTACCACTAATGATAGATATACTTTTGTTAAAATCTTTGGTAGAGGAAATTGTGGCCCATCTGATGGTGAGTGGTTACTGTTGTTTATGGTCATCAACGATGTGTACAGCACAACAAAGACGTTGTCATCAATGCTAGAAATAGATTTTCGTACAGAAATACTACGGTTGAACATTATTTGCGCGGTGTCACGATAAGTATTTAATTTTGAGGCAAAAGTTTTTTTCTCGTCAAAAAAACGCATATACCCATAATTATGTAAGTTTACTAAGATTTTAAATACTACAGATATTTCAGTAGTATTTTTTTATATTTTCTATATTGCATAGAAGGGTAGGCGAAGTTCACAGCACATCTGGTGTTAAGTAGTTACTGGAGCCCATAGCCACAACGGCTGCCCCACCCTTCAAACCGAAACTCATTACTGCTTCTCGTCAGAAATAAAAGATTTTAATGTCAATTCCAGACAATTCCTATGGAGTTTTCGATTGCCCGGCGAGGCTCAGAAGATAGATCGGATGATGGAATGCTTTGCCCAGAGATACTGCCAGTTGAACCCCGATATCTTCACGAACGCGGACACGTGCTACGTTCTTAGTTTCGCCATAATAATGCTGAACACGTCGCTGCACAATCCGAGTGTCAAAGACAAACCGACACCAGAACAATTCGTCGCGATGAACCGGGGCATCAATAACGGGGGTGATCTGCCGCAGGAGTTGCTCTTGGTGAGTTACCTAGTTACCTTCAGATTTAAATGATTGGGTTTTTACTTTTTGCGCATTTTTCTAGAGGTCGGAGCCGTTAAAGATACGCGGTATTTGTGAGTCATACTCGGGCATTCACGTTTAATCAGTATCATCTATAAATATTAATATAAAATAAAATATTAACTGTATCGAACCTAAACTATTTACCTATTGTGTTTACTGCTTTAAACGTCCAGGCGAGTTCTCAGTCTAACATTGAGATACTAGTTTTTTTTTCTTTTTCTACCTATGCTGATAGCCTTGAGAGGCTATTTCAGCTTCACCCTAACATGGTGGTGAGCTCACGGGACTCAAACCAGAGTGTTGCTAAAACTGCTCCTAGCAAGAGCAGTGCTTCGCAGAATCTACTACCGGATCGGAAACGCGACCCACTGAGAAGATCCGGCGAAAAACTCAGTGGGCTGTGTCTGTGGGTTAATTCGCTCGTCGAGCCCTTCGTCGCAAGCGACGGGTTCGACGAGGACGGTGACTAGTGCTTGTGGTACTTAAAAGCACCGTTTATGGATCAGGAGGATCCGTAATGACGTGTTTTGGGTGACGTCGATTATTTACCATTTGGTCTACAGGATCGGGTATGTAATTTCCAGCGGTCACGACAAGAGGTTTCTCATGTCGAACCGCCTTCACAAAGTGCGAAAGATACTAGTTCGAAGTCAATTGTATATATACTAGGGTTGTCGCACCCAATGAATGACATCACAACCGGTCCCATCATTAGTACAACATTCGTGAATCCTGAGAATAATAAAACTTTATGCCGAAGTTTTTTATTATTATTATTATTCAATAGGTCAGCCGTGGCTACGCCCGCGTGGTCAAGGAAGTGTATCAGTGTAGTTTCCTTGGGAATGAGATGTTTTTCGGCATAAAAGTAGCCTAGGTCACTTTGTTAGCCTAATACTAACGCTTTAAAAAAATCATATCAGTCCGTGTCAATCGTTTCGACGTGAAATAAGGATACGAACACACTTTCACATTTATAGTATTAGTATGGAGTGCTGTGTTAACAATGTGTTTTGTTGATGGTAGGTCATATTGTACGGTCATATGGTAGATTTTTTGTCTATTATTATTTTCTGCTTAGATGGGTGGACGAGCTCACAGCCCACCTGGCGTTAAGTGGTTACTGAAGCCCATAGACATCTACGACGTAAATGCGCCACCCACCTTGAGATACAAGTTCTAAAGTCTCATGTATAGTTACAACGGCTGCCCCACCCTTCATACCGAAACGCATTACTGCTTCACGGCAGAAATACGTATTTCTATCACGAACATCACACGTTCTGATCTATGGGACAACCTTTCTATAGTACATTTGAAATGTTGACATCAAGTCAAGGTTGGTGGGGGGTGACATCTCCNTGCGCCACCCACCTTGAGATACAAGTTCTAAAGTCTCATGTATAGTTACAACGGCTGCCCCACCCTTCATACCGAAACGCATTACTGCTTCACGGCAGAAATACGTATTTCTATCACGAACATCACACGTTCTGATCTATGGGACAACCTTTCTATAGTACATTTGAAATGTTGACATCAAGTCAAGGTTGGTGGGGGGTGACATCTCCATTTATGAGTTTATTCGAAACTTTTGCCCATTTAGCCAAGAATAAAAAACGAAATAGGAGGATTGTATTTGAAAACGTCATTCGAGAGCTTAAATATTCTGCTAATATTACTTAACAAGATGTAGACTGATAAGTCTAAATGACCTACAACGTAGTTTCGTTCACTAACAACTACCATAACGTTTTTATTTGGAAACATCACACTTGACTCGTCGTATCGAGTTACTACTACATTTAATCGGAGGGTTACACGTCAAACGACCGTGACTCATCTGTAATAACACGAACACATCCTCATTCTTATCGTAAATTAATAATAATACAATGAATAAAATCATTGTTTGAATTTTTAGGTACCGTGTCCAGTAATTCAATAGCTTCGTAATAAATATTCTTGCTCTTAGAACGTCCTCTGTGCTTAAGTTGACTCGCGTTATCTTTGTTTGAGTTCGTTTTGTTTAGCAAGCAAACGATCAAACTGTTTATCAAATTGTGTTTGTTTATCATTTTATTGCACGAGCCTGTTGATTTTGTTTACGAAATAATTACGTATTTGATGGATGGCCCTGATTGAGAACGTTTGGCGAACAAATATCACCCGACGCGGTAACCTTTCAGTGGGTCGTGATTCCGATCCAGTGGATGATTCCGCGACGCATTGCTCTTGCTAGGGCTAGTGTTAGAAAAATTCTCTTAGGTTGAGCCCGTGAGCTCACCTACCCGTCCGGGGGTAGATGGAATAGGTAGCGAAAAAGAAAGGGGTACCATACATCAACTATCCAGCTTTGGAACGATCTCCCACTTTTTTTTTAACGCTGGGGAATCCATTTACGGATACCCGGTCGAGGGAGGTAACAGACCGGGTTATGTCGGACTCCGGCGCCTCCAGAGAATAAGAAGGAGAAGAGGAAGACCAGGGTCCTCTTCTTCTTCCAATTCCTGCCAGGAGACTACGCCTTGAGAAAGGGACACAAGGCGTTGCATGGCATCAGCCACGCAAGAATCGATCTCCCCTCCACGGTGCTTCCTGAGCGCTATGCCATGTCCTTCTTCAAACGAGGCTTGCGGAGAGTACTTAACGGTAGGCAGCGGTTTGGCTCTGCCCTTGGCATTGCTGACGTCTATGAGCGACAGTAACCACTTACTATCAGGTTGGCGGTATGCTCGCCTGCTTACAAAGGCAATAAAAAAAACATACGACAATACCTATTAACGTACCTATATACGTAAACCAAGTCTACCCTTGAAGGATTCTTTTTTATTGTTTGTCTCAAATTTGACGTAAATTATTTTATTTTTGTAGAAGTTAATTTGCGAATGTGTTGGGCTTCGTCGTCACTCTAATTTTCTTTTCGAACTTATGACGTTGCCAATACAAGGCTTCTTTAGATAAAAATTGTTTTACGTAGGTAGTCACCGAGTTTTTCTATTATTATTGATGGAATCGCACGTTACACGATCAAAGAATAATTTTCCTATATTTACATAGAGGAAGTGTGTTACTACAAGCGTTCAATGCAAAAATGCATGCAAGTTTGTATTTTTAATTGACGAATTAAATAACCTATCATTAAATATGAGTACCAGTTGCCGTATTACCGTAATTTTCAACTTTTATCTAGAAATAGAAAGAATGAAAATACATGTGTATACATGCTCTTACATATACTCTTTATTTTACATAAATTGCTCTTTCAGGAAAAAAAACCAGCAACATTCATATAATATAAAATATGAGCTTAACTTAGAAATTATATTACTATACTTAAAAAAAAATTGCTCTATATTATCATTATATTCATTATTTTATAAAAAACGATCTCTCTAGTACATAGTTTTAATTTGTATAAAAAAATGTATCAAGAAACGATGTTTGAATTTTTCTCGGAATACGGAACTCTTGCAAATGAGATTTTTTTTATGATTTCCACGTTTGATAAACTTACATTTACATTATGTAAACTGTGTAAAGTTAAATATTCCTCATACCGGTAATGTTGTTAATCTTCTAATTACTGAGTAAACATTGTTTATGACTTAAATTTTGAATGTTTACCCGGAATATTGTATTAAAGATTTTAACAAGAATTTTGTACTGTTTTGTTGAACTGATTTGAGGAAAATAAGCTAATTATTTCAACTCGCGTTACATCTTAACATGGTGTAGAAATTTCGGGATGAGACAATTCGTTTCGCCTACCTAATCGTTGGTAGCATAAGGGGTTATCCCAACTACGAACGGTTTGGTAGGTGAGCTCACGGGGCTCAACCTAGGAGGACTTGCTAACTAACCCTAGACCTAGCCTTAGCTAGCAAGAGCAGTGCTTTGCTGATCTACTGCCCTATCGGAATTTCGACCCACTGATAAGATCCGACGAGAAACTCTAATGCGTTGTGTCAATGTTGGTTAATATCGTGAGCCCCGGACGCACTGGTAATAGGACCTCTTGTGAGTCAGGTAGGTACCACCACCCTGCCTATTTGTGCCGTGAAGCAGTAATGCGTTTCGGTTTGAAGGGTGGGGCAGTCGTTGTAGCTGTACTGAGACCAACTTATATCTCAAGGTGAGTGGCGCATTTACGTTGTAGATGTATATGTGCTCCAGTAACCACTTAACACCAGGTGGGCTGTGAACTCGTCTACCCATCAAGGCAATAAAAAAAAAGCACGGGTGAGTAGGTGCAGCCGTCCTGTAAACATTCAACGTCTTTTTCTCTTGGTAAATCCGGACTCTGGTAGTTGAACAAATTTTATACACAATATTTTAGTTGGTTCAACCCCTCACGCATGGAGTATACGGAGCTTGTTGAAAGACGTCAGATGACCTTTGACCTTTGATCTAAAAAAAAATTTAAATTAAAATACAAATTGAATTAATTATTTAATATCAACGGTGAACGTGCAAGTCGGGAAATCTTCACTGTGCATTTACCAACACGCGCTTCCCCAGTTTGTCAATACAGCTCACGACACATGACGTCTGTTGGCAGATTCATCGTCCACACGAAGATACCATTATAGCTTCAGTCTTTGTATACGTGATAATGATAAAAATGCTCCTACAATAAACTCTTATTAAACCGCTGATAAAGTTTAATCTAGAACTTAACGAATTCGATCATCGAACGAAAACGATTCGATCATTTGAAAACGAGTGTCGTAGTGGTGATCTCGTAAGCATCTGATATTTTGCGCCAGTTAGTGTTGTTTTCGCCATTTTAATAATTATGTTAATTCGCGAGCAAAATGATAATTATAGATACGATTTGAAAGTTTCCGTTTGTCTGTCCGTTTATTCTTCTTTGCTATAAGTTGTTGTTGTGTTATAGTAATTGAGCGTGGACTGTGTTTTTTGTATGAAATATGTATTAAATCCTTATATTACAAATTAACGACCTAATAAAAGTTAACTATTAAATTGATGCGTTGCGTTGCTTATGGGCGGCTGGATTTGAAAGAGGTTTGGTGTCATGGCGGACGTCGATCGCTGACATTTTTACGTTCAGAAACTGTTGTTTTTAATGTAGAATTTTTATTAAAAACTACAATATAATACAACTATATTATTTTTAATTAAGAACCTTATTTCTAATTATTTTAGGTATGCTAATATAACACGAGTAAAGCCGTAGCGTAAACACATAATTCGGGGAGATTAGACTTTAAAAGTTTTTATCAAGTCATTATTTGTAATAAACACGTTCTCTTATCTTTCACAGTAACTTCTTACAGAGAAGGAATATATCGTGAATAGTGTAATTATATCGTTCGAGAATTCTGGGATATACTAATTCTCTGAGAATCTCGATTGTTTGGTTACTATGCTGTAAATAAAATTTACCTGATTTATTTAAATGTTTAAACAAATAACAGTGATTTGTGCAAGTTTTTTTATTTTAATTATTATAATAAAGTGTTTTTTCTTCTATTAAGAAGTTGTTCATGAATTGAATAATACATTTTACAGTCATTGTACGAGTCTATAAAGACAGAGCCCTTTAAGATACCCGAGGACGACGGAAACGATCTCATGCACACATTCTTCAATCCCGACAAAGAAGGCTGGCTGTGGAAGCAAGGCGGCAGGTGAATACTTAATCTATACTAATATATAAATAAATCTACAGTGGTATTTACGGATGATCCGTTATAACTACTGAACCGTGCATCCGATTGACTGGAAACTTGGTATCCATGTAGAAAATACACGTACTTAATGGATAGGCTAATATTTATATGAGTGTTGGACTCCCTACACCAGCTGCGGGGGCGTTAATGATTTGTGGGGGTGAAGAAATAATAATGTTCATTTTAAATGCCCAGCGAAGCGGACGGGTACAGCTAGTCTATACTAATATTATAAACCTGAAGAGTTTGTTTGATTGAACGCACTATACTCTATTCCAATTACGAAGTCCCTTTTGACACGTCTAAGAACCGTAGAACGTAACTCTTCACGTTTCGTATAAATTGTAATAATAATCAATTTTTTGTTCATGGTCGTAAACATCATTTAAAAAATACACAATCCATTTTAAATAATTATATAATTAATTCACACATACAATGATATAATAATAACATCTGTCAAATGGGACTTCGTAATTGGAATAGAGTATAATCTCAGGAACTTCTGATCCGATTTGAAAAAGTCTTTCAGTGTTAGATAGCCCATTTATTGAGGAAGGATAGGCTATGTAACATCATGCTAAGACCGATACAAGCGGAGCACTAATAAATAATGTTTCAAAATCGGGTTTTTTTGGTCTTGAGAGATTCCGCTGCGTACGCTGCGGAAACGGTTAAAAGTTTCGCTAAAATAATGTATGACTGAATTGTTCCCCTTTTAAAAGTTCTAAATAAAGTCTGTGACAGCATAAGTCTATATTTTAGGGTAGGCTCTGGGCTTGGTTATCTAGTTTAACCAAATTTGTCCTAAAATAAAGCATTGTTTTTGAAGGTATTTTTATGAAGATGATAATTAATATCATTTTTATAAAAACAGTAAACCGAAATCTTAATGCGGACAATTTTTTTTACTAATCATTCGCATTAGAATATATTTATAAATATAATATTCTTTTTTCAAACGACAGATTTTGTATATCGCGGTTAATTTCTTTATTGTTACTTTCGGTGCTTATTTAGAATTTATCAAATTACAGATACAAATCGTGGAAGAGACGGTGGTTTATACTGAACGACAACTGCCTGTATTACTTCGAGTACACGACCGACAAGGAGCCGAGGGGGATTATTCCATTAGAAAATATATCTGTAAGTATATAATTGGCTAGTAGGGTAGTACTCAATGAAAATAAGATGGGATATCGTTCGTAGTATTTTTTATTATTTTATTGCTCTTTTGCATCTTATTTTGATTGAGTGCCACCCTACTAGACCTACTAACCCATCCGCGCGAAACTGGAATAGCCCCTTAGGCTAAAAGCTAGGAAAAAAAAAGTTCATAGTGAATTAGCCAGTTGTACTACGCCTTCAGTCACTTGCAGTTTACTGTTTTGTATAAGATTCAAAACAGCTCTGACGTGTGAAGCAGTATACGGAAGATAAACTATGACGAGGTTTTATTAGTTGTATTGGTCAGGTCACATTTACAAAGCACACTGAATGAAAAAAAAATGTTTTCTTACCTAAGCTGAGAAAATGAAAATAATCACAACAAGCACTTTTTTATAAAAACTAATTGACAATAGATACTTTTTTATAAAATCTAATTGACAAGAGATACTGGCCGGTACAAAACGTCAGGTGAAATGACGTCATACTGTGTGCAGCTACGTTTATTCGTCGCTATAATAGAAATAATAGTATTTCATACGTACGTTACGTATTTTGTGACTAATAAATACCCAGACGGAGCACTATTATGTATGATCAAAGACAACAAAAAAAAAGAAGATCTTTTCGTTTTTTTTTTTCAAATAATTTTAAATTTCGAATATTTTAGATGTATTGTTGGTTCAATAATTTGATGTCGTTCTCCAGTCGCAGATTTAAATCAACACAATTTTAGAGTTGTCTATACTAATATTATAAAGAGGAAAGATTTGTTTGTTTGTTTGTTTCGAATAGGCTTCGAAACTACTGGACCGATTTGAAAAATTCTTTTTCCATTAGAAGCCGACATTGTCCCTGATGACCATAGGCTACCTTTTTAAAAAAAAAATTTTTTGTTTTTTGTTTCATGTGTATTTTAATGTTTCCGAAGCGAAGCGAGGGCGGGTCGCTAGTTTTTAAATAAAGATTTATTATCAGCCTTGGCAGCGCAGCAAAAACCCGTTGCGTGTCATTAAACAAGTTTCGCGTTTTTATTTATTTATTTAATTCGGTTATTATTTTATTTATTATAAATCAGGTTCGTCCAGCCAGCGATAGACAGCGACCACATTGTCTAGAGCTATACGCGAGCGGAGGGGCTGATCTCATTAAGGCGTGCAAGACCGACTCCGAGGGAAAAGTCGTCGAAGGAAAACATACTGTCTACAGGTAAACCATGTTTTTCTTATTACTGATATGGGTGGACAATTGCACGGCTTACCTGGTGTTAAGTTAATGCAGCCGACCATCTTGAGATATTAGTTCTAAGTCTCAGTTTATACTACGACGGCTGCCCCAAACTTCAGACCGAAATATATTACTGCTTCACGGCAGAAATAGGCAAGGTGATGATGCCTATCTGCGCGGACTGATAAGAGTGCCTACCTTACCATTATGGGAAAACTGCTGTTGTTTTCTTTTGGCATATTAAGTATCCGTTATGAAAAGGTTTCCTGTTTTATTCGAAAATCCACTTACATTTTTTAAAGCTAATTTTAGCGTCCGCTTTCCATAGTTATTAATATAAGTGTAGTTTGTGGTAAGAATTCCAGCAATTTTTATAGAAGCGTCGTTTGTTTTCTATTTTTATTCCTGTGGATATATATGGTAGTCAGATTAGGTTTGCGCGGCGTACACTTAAAGCCAAATAAATCGTACAGTTCGAAAAAAGGACTGAACTAATCTAGATCACTTGTGCTGAGTGACCAGTGGTGCCTTGCCACTATACTATTGTGTTACATCATTCTATACAAAATACTCCAAAATTGGACAGGCACGGTGCTCAGATCTCAAGAAACCGAAGTATCAACTGTCTTGATTCGAACTGACTAAAACGACAAGTGCTAATGCTTATTTTATTAAACGAATAATTTTTGCTGTTAGATAATAGTTACCATATCGCTTTTGGATCACACACCCTGTATAAAGATATAGCTAGTATTTCTTTCACGCTTTTAGGCAGCGGCTTGGCTCTGCCCCTAGCATTGCTGAAGTCCATGGGCGACGGTAACCATTCACCTTCAGGTGGGCCGTATGCTCGTCTGCCTACAAGGGCAATAAAAAAAAAACGCTCTGTATAATTTACTTTCTTGTTACAGAATGTCAGCGGCAACAGTAGAAGAACGTGATGAATGGATAGAATGCTTGCGTCGTTCAATAAGTCACAATCCATTTTACGACATGTTGGCGCAGAGGAAGAAGAAGGCGCAACACAGCGGACACTCCGGCTCACACTAAATTATCCGAAACACTATTTGATTAAAATAATAATAGAAATACCTTGTCGATGATGTGGAACTATGAAATGTCTGAAGCAAAATAGTCCTACGCTTCGGATTGAAGGATTAGTCAGCTGATTGATTGATTTGTTACTGGTGGTAGGACCTCTTGTGAGTCCGCACCGGTAGATACCACCACCCTGCTTATTTCTGCCTTGAAGCAGTAATGCGTTTCGGTTTGAAGGGTGGGGAAGCCGATGTAACTATACTTGAGACCTTAGAACTTATCTCGAGGTGGGTGGCGCATTTACGTTGTAGATGTCTTGGACTCCAGTAACCACTTAACACCAGGTGGGCTGTGAGCTCGTACACCCATCTAAGCAATAAAAAAAATTATACCCTGTTCTAGTGAGATAACTCACGTTTTAAGATCGGTTGCGTAATGCAGCACGTCGTGATGTCCTCGGGCACCGGCAACCATTTAACACACGGCTTTATTGTCAGTTCGTTTAAAGCAAGACAATGATTAATTTTCATAAGTAGGGTTAGCAAAAACGATTTGCTGTTTAACTGGAATTGTTTTTTTTAATTCTCTTGTATTTGCTATTGAGATTTTTTAATAATTTCTACCTATATAGTAGTTGGCCAATATTTCGAGAGATCAGATCAGATTTGTAAGATAAATGTGTCAATCAACAATTTGATGTTTAGCCTTGTGTATAATGGATCGGGAAAATTGATTATATGAAGTACTGTGTGGGTGATCTGTAAATGTCATAAAGTACAGAGTAAAAGACATGTGAATAACGTATTAAGAGATCAATTTAAATTTCACGTTTCAGTGATTAACTGAGAAGCTTCTTGAAATAGATTTTGGCTTGCCAACGTGGTGCCAGTCAAATATATGATACTACTACTATAACTGAAATAATTTAGTAGAAATATTTAAAAATACAATTTAAACAATCAGATGTCAGATTCTGCGTCTCGTGTGTCTCGTGAATGTAGCCAGCTCGTTGTTTATCATGCAAATTAAATCAAATAATGTAAATCGCTGTATATAAAGAGAACATTCTAAAAGGCGAAACGAGAATGAACTATTAAGGATGTGTATAGTTGTCGTTTTAAAATCGATTTTATCGTTTTAATATCGATCGATTTTAATAAAATCGATAAGTTAAATTCTCTTAATTGGCAGTTAGCTGGTAACCGTCCCACGAGATAGGAAATTAAATTATTTTACGAAGAGGTGTCTGTGGGTGGAGGTTATTCGTTGAAGTACTTGCGTTATCCGTGACAGCTTTATAATATGAAATCGAGTCGCGATTAGCTGAACGCTAGCTGGCTTGAATGGTTTAGCAGCTAACTAGTGGCATCTATGATTCGTATGAAAGATGAGAAGTGAGAAGTAGCTTAGAAGTGGTCCAGAAAATGTATAGTAGCGTAGTGGATGACGACTAATTTTTTTTGTTTGAAATATTTGTTTTGCTGAATAAAGAAAACTGGACCGTAGCCTATTAGACGAAACGTCCATATTCGTACTGATCGTAGAGAATAGTATACTCCAATAATTGTGATATTTTAAAATCATTGGTTGAGGGACAATCGTATGTACACTTTTACAAAGAGCTCGAGCAGACGATGCTGCCGTGACGCTGCCGGTAATCATTTCGTTTTGTACGCTGTACATTGCTGGGAGGCCAAACAGGCAAATTTCGAATTTAATTACAAAATTGTAGATTTTCAAAGGATTTATGGGATTCATTAAAATGCTCTTCTTACAACCAATAACTTGAACATACATCTTACATCTTGTATTTATTGAACAATTGTATTGAATTTTTACTTTACATGTTATTGGCGGTAGGACGTCTTGTGAGTTCGCGCGGGTAGGTACCACCGCCCTATTTCTGCCGTGAAGCAGTAACGCGTTACGGTCTGAAGGGTAGGGCAGCTGTTGTAACTATACTGAGAACTTAGAACTCATATCTCAAGGTGGGCGGCATTTACGTTGTACATGTCTATGGGCTCCGATTACCACTTAACACCAGGTAGGTGGGCCGTGAGCTCGTCCACCCATCTAAGCAATACGTTGCACTGGACAATCAGTAAGCTCATCCTTATTTTTATTTGTTAAATTTTATTTTCGTCTAGTCACGGGTATTGTTTGCGGCCAGCAATGTATGCGAAATATATGACGTAAGAATAATAATATGTAAAAATCATGTCGAATATAGCGGCGGCAGTACCGTCTACACGAGTCTCTATAGTTTCATGAAAATCGAACGTTCCGTATAGACATTGTCCACGTGTATAAACGAATGTAAGACTGATAATGAAAACGTTACGTGCGTTTCTTTCTGTTGTCTTTGTTGAATCGTAATGGAATTCGTTAATATACAAATTGTTTTAAATGTCATGTTGTCGCTTTGTTTCCGTAATAAGCTGTATTATCAGTGTTTGCCGGTAAAATTTTTGTTAATTTTAATATTTTGTTTTTGTAATCCGTACATGGTTTATCGTGTGTTTGTTACATTATTGCTTTGACAATGATTCTCATACGATACTTTTAAAAGCTGAAACATATAGAATTTGTTTTTTTTTGGCTGAATAGTAAATTCATTGTGGGAAAGGTATTGAAGAAAAGTATTAATTTAAATTAATTTTATATGTATCGTAAAATGCAATTGTGTGCGTACATGTATGAATAGTGTAATAGCCCGTAATTTTATTAGCAAATACGTTAGCTGTTGTAAGTTTATAAATGTGTAAATATTGCGTTTGAAAGATGAAATTGAATTTCGAAGTGATATTTCGGTATGTATATTACAACAATAATTTTGTAAGGAATCTGGCTCATATATAATAATATATTCAATCGATCAGTGGTTAAGTTATTCTTTCATTACTCTCTTTTACCACTCTAGTTAAAAATAATAAACGAAATGTCAGTGTGTGTACTGTAATCTTAACTTTATCTACTTCGCAATAAGTGCTCATTTTACATACTCTACATCTTGCATATAACTTTTTATAATAATAAATTTAAATAAACAAAAATTTTATAGAAAGGCAAATATCTTTTGAACCACTAGTATTTTGTTTGAATGGTTATTAATTTTATTAGTAAGATATGCAGGTCTGTTATTAATTTACAAATTGTGTTTAAATTTTGAATGATGGTAACACATTCTCAGTGTTGCCATGACCAAAAGGGTTTTGACATGAGAAAATCGTTTTATAATTTACGCCACCCTAAGTTTACAGAACTGTGCCTAATATTGATCTGTAATTAGTTTTAAATTTAATTTTAGTGCCTCTATTATTTTAAATGCGCTGTAAAACTGCTTCGAGAATGTTAATTTATCTCAATTGTATAATGTTTTTATATTATTATGATCATAATATGTGCATAGTGATGGTGTTGTAAATAATTTTGTAAGAAAATGAGAATATACATAAATATCTATATTTCAACCTTTTTTTTTCCCTAAGTGATACTTCGTCTGATATATATAAGCACCGTTACATTGATTTGATATTACTTTCGAAACAAACGGATTTCAATGGAAAGATTTTTTTATTTTTTTTTATTGCTTAGATGGGTGGACGAGCTCACACCCAACCTGGTGTTAAGTGGTTACTGGAGCCAATTGACATCTATAACGTAAATGCGCCACCCACCTTGAGATATAAGTTCTAAGGTCTCAAGTAGTTACAACGGCTGCCATCCTTCAAACCGAAACGCATACTGCTTCACGGCAGAAATAGGCAGGGTGGTGGTACCCACCCGCGCGGACTCACAAGAGGTTCTACCACCAGTGAATGCAGCAGATGCAATGTTCGTTGAAATAAGCGGTTTAATTTCATTAAAACTAAAGATTTTTTTTGAAACTAACTAAAATTTTCTATTAATGGATCTCGTAGCGAAGAACAAAGGACATCTATACTAATATTATAAACAGGAAAGATTTGTTTGTTTGTTTGTATTGAATAGGCTTCGAAACTACTGAACCTATTTGAAAAATTCTTTCACTGTTTGAAAGCTACACTATTCCCGAGTGACATAGACTATAATAATTTTTGAAAGAAAATTAGGGATCCTTACTAAAACTCTAATAATATAACCCAAGATGTAAAAAATCACATAAAATATTCTTTATATCGCCTGCCCTGCAAAAACTATTCATGACAGAATAAAATAATGTACTACGACTTTGTAGAACACATTATTATTTACAAAAAGTGTTGCGACAAAATATATTATTATAGTTATGCCGCAATAAGTGTTCTTATATTTAAAAAAATAAAACGACATCAAATATCGTTTTAATTTTTGTTAAAGACCCGAGCGGAGCCGGATTGGGCTGCTAGGGTCTTTAATTATAAAAAATAATTTTCATTATAAAAATTCATTTCATTATAAAAAATAAACACCCCTTAAATTTCGAACGCTGCTGCTTGATGCCGAGCTCTGGAAGAATCGAGACATTTTTACGAAACTTGGTCCACGAAACTCCAAGCATTCTTCTCCACACCATATCTCCAGAGCGTCTATTTACTCCCTCACTACATCTAGCACAGAACACGTCTCAGCAATGTATAGAAATATGGAGAATACCCGGCAAACGTTGTTTTGCCATATAGATTATTTCTAGGAAAGATAAATAACCTAGATACCGACTGCAGCGCCCTCTACCGGGCTGATTTGTGAATCTAAACCATCCAGGGTGCCACCCAAACGCATACAAAAAAAAACATTCAAATCGGTCCAACCGCTTAGGAGGAGTTCAGTGACAAACACGCGCACAGAAGAAACATATATATGTCGTGGATAACGACTTTTAGTTGTCGTGGATAACGACTTTTAGTAATATTAAGACGGTGGTTTTGATTATTATTTTAAATGATGAAATGTTGTTTTGATAAATATCACAAAATGAAGGGTAGACTCCGTAACGCCACAGTATAAAATGGCGGTACGTGGACAGAGTCGTGGCATTCCGTGTCAGACAATCATTCCGTCCGTATTATTTTAAATGATGAAATGTTGTTTTGATAAATATCACAAAATGAAGGGTAGACTCCGTAACGCCACAGTATAAAATGGCGGTACGTGGACAGAGTCGTGGCATTCCGTGTCAGACAATCATTCCGTCCGTCTCAGTCAGTGAATCTCTGACAGTCAGTCAGTCAGTCAGTCGGTCTGTCGGTATGTGGAACGAAACTGTCGGTTTA